GGTTAATGGGAGGAAATTACCCAGGAAACTGCCCAGCGGCTGACTACAGGAAGCCCGAGGCAGAGTTGCTCTGCCCCGGGCTTCCTGGAATCAGCTGCTGATCAGTTTCAGCAGCAGCTGACTTGGGGACGCTTGGGGTTCTTAAGTTGATTTTGTATGTAAGTCAGAACTGGCGGTCAGTTTAAGCAGTGGCTGAATCTGGACGCCAGTTCCGATTTACATACAGATTCAACTTAAGAACAAACCTACAGTCCCTATCTTGTACGTAACCCGGGGACTGCCTGTATGTGGTAGTGTAGTGAATTAAACCACACTCCAGGACTTTCACTGTTCTATAGTAGTGTCCACACGAGATGTTACAAAGATACAAGCTGGTGCATACCCTGGTTTGCCTCAGAGTAATCTGCTGTTTGCCTCAGAGTAATCTCCTAATTCGAACTACCATTACTCCTCCTGCAATGAGGTTTAACAGTAGTTCGAATTAGGAGCTTTAATTGGAACTACCTAGCCCGTGCCACGTGTAGCCGCAGGCAGGTAGTTTGAACTACCAGGCATTTAAAAATAGAGGCACCCAGGAACATGCAAATGAAGCCTGGGATATTTAAATCCCGGGCTTCGTTTGCAAGTTCAAATGACTACATTAGCCACCCTAGTTCGAACTAGGGAGGCAGTGTAGACATACCCTAAGGTATTACAGGACTCCTAGGTTTTTTTAAAGTTACTGAATAACATGCCTATCTCTCTAAGAAAAGGAAAGTACTAGTTATTTTAATCTATATATTTATTTTACAGTGTGTCTGTCTATGTGTCTACAGGCAGTCCCCGGGTTACGTACAAGATAGGGACTGTAGGTTTGTTCTTAAGTTGCATTTGTATGTAAGTCGGAACTGGTACATATTGTAGGGGAAACTCTAGCCAAACATTTCTCCAGAGCTCAGTTTTATTCTCCCACACCTCACTTTCCTCAGTCCTTTATTCTCAAGCTGAGGTGTCTGCTGAGAAAAGCCGCTCTGCATCTCCCTGGTCTGCTGGGGGGGTGGGCGCTAGCTTCGCGTCTCCCTGGTCTGCTGGGGGGAAGCAGCTAGTGCAGGGTTGCCTCACCCTGTTTGTAAGTAGGGATCCGATGTAAGTCGGATCCATGTAACCCGGGGTCTGCCTGTATTTAAGAACTCCTAAATGGTAAGAACCAGGACCACCACATTTGATATGCAGCTTCCTCTTATCCTAACTTAAACTAAGGGCAGGGTTGTTGTGCCTGGAAAATGGGAAATGCCAGGAATAGGACTATTTCCCATAACACGGAAAGGGAGGGGGCAGGAAGAAGAAGAATGTGAAAGGGAGGGGCACATAGATGGGAGGGATATGATACTAAGAGTGGCCACTGGGGAGCAGCTATAGCACCAGCAAGGCTGGGGCTCCACCATCTTGCTTGCCAGCACACTGGTAAGAAACCCCCCTTCCCCAGACTTGGAGCATACCCTGGGCAGAGCCTGCAGGCTGTTATGGGGGGAGTGCTGCAGGAGAGGACAGCCCCCAGAGCCTGGCCCCTCCCCAGACATCCTGCAAACTGCAGGAGGACTGCTGAAGTAGAGGCAGCTGAAGGGAGGGGGGGAAGGACAGAAACCCCAGGGCCTTGCCCCTCCCCCCCGCAACAGCCTGCAGGCCAGGGGCTGCTGCTGACGGGGGAAAGCCCCTGAAGCCTGGCCTCCTCCCAGAGAGCCTGCAGGCTGCTGGAGTCCAGGGGCAGCCCCCAGAGCCTTGCCCACCAGATGACCTGCAGGCTGCAGGGGGTTTGCTGCAGGAGGGGGTAGCCCCCAGAGCCTCAACCACCTGTCCTCTGATAGCCTGCAGGCCACAGGGTGGGGGGAGGCTGCTGGAGAGGGCAGCAGCCTCCAAGCCCTGCTACCCACCAGACAGCCTGCACCTGTGGGAGGAGGGGTATCTGAAGGGGGTGGCAGCCTCTGTAGCCTTGCCCCTCCAGATAGCCTGCAGGCCATGGGGGAGAGCAACTGGCAGGGTGCTGGCAGGGGAGCACTGTCTTGGTGCCCTGGGAGAAGCTGCCTCCGGAGTAGTGCCACCCTCGCTGCCATGGGCAATCCCAGTAAGCCCCCTCCCACCTCCCAGCCCCTTGTCCTCAGCCTTTGCCCTGAGTCCTGCAACTCCCACCTGCCTTGACTTCAGAATCCCTTTCCTCTGCCCTGAGCCCCTCCTCCCCATGTCCTAAGCTGCCCCACACCTCCCAAACCTCTGTCTCTAGTCAACTCTCCCCTGTCACTCCTCATCGCCAAATCTTCACTTCAGTCTTCATTTTCCTTCATTTTTGAAAACTACAATCACTGAAATAATGCATGTATATTTGCATGTACTTTACAGACACACACACACACACACACACTCACACACACACAGGATAAATTCCTTCAGTTACAGACCCAAGCAATGCCAGGTACATCTGCTAGTCCATTATATTTTTACTTTTGCAATACAGCATATACCAACATGTTTAATTTAGTAAGATATTTAATCATTAAAATTCTTTGGTTTATAGGTAAAAATACCAGACATCTATATGTCTTACATACCTCAGTAGCAAACTGCTGCAATCCACCAATATTAATTGGTCCCTCCTCCGTAGCATATAAATTGCATCCTCCTACACAAAGGTCTGAGGTTGGACATACCATTCCACATGTCAGGCCCAGTGGGTTGTCAGAAAGAATCATTTTGGCAGCTCCATAATAGTTCTGCATGAAGAAAACAAATTCAACAATAATGCCACAGAACAGGGAAGCAGAAATTCAAGAGAGAGGATCCAAAATGTTGTTCTTTTTATATGGCTAGTAGAATAACATTGCACCTTTGATAAAACAGAAATGTACAAATTTGCCACATATGTGTATTGATTAAAAGATATTGAGGACAAATTCAGAATATATCTTACTGTATGGCAGGCTAAGAATATTTCAATAATTTCTTTTTTATTATAACATTTTTTAATTTGTTTATGTGGATTTTCAGTTATTTTTGAAAGGTTGTATAGTTGATTTACGGTTTTATTTTAAACATATAATGTGTATTACACTTCAGTATGTGTTCTCTCCATTCCTAAGTCAATTAGGCAGCTGGTGAACACATATGATGTAATTGCAGCCCCAAGTTCTCTCTCTGTTCACCCCATTCCTAATAAATAACAACAACTATCAAGAAATACTCGTGCCATGCCTTCACTTTGCAGAAGATCAATGCTACCACAGATGATTTTCCAGGGTTGGATTTAGTGGGTCTAGTGAAGTCCTGCTAAATTGACATCAGAGGTTACCCCCGCTGGCGCTGGTAGTCCTGCTGTACCATGAGGAGTGAGGGAAGTCCATTGACCTCCTGCTGAGTGGATGGCGCAGAAACATGATTTAAGATATTTTGACTCCAGCTATGTAATTAACATAGCTGGAGCTGTGTATCTTAATTCGGCTTTCTGCTGCAGTGTAGACCAGGCCTTAGGAAACATTTGTGGCTTGTCTACACTAAAGACCACCACTAATCATGAAAAGATTAAAGTCACAACTATGCAAGGGACCAGCACCAGACTCATGCACTAATTGAGTAGCATGGAGAACTTGTGGCACAGGAATGAATTCTATTCCAATACTCACCAAATTACAAACTGAAAGAAGAAAGGTCTCTTTTTCCATATCCTCTAGCCACCTCTCCCACATCTCATTCTCCAGTAACTTTTTAATGAACATGTTGTTCAGAGCTGGTCCGTCACTACACTGGTCTGTGCTAGGGAGTAACTCTCCCAATCACGATGATAACTGGCTCAGATGACTCAGAACTTGTAGAACCAGTGAGAAGCAAAGAGCTGATTGATAGGTTCCCCTTCAGGAATTTTATTTTGAACCTTCATGTTTAGTAGAGTAATACACTTACAATATTCATCTTCAAATGAAATAATATCCCACACTAAACTACATCCCTTTTTTGATAAAGGGATGTAAATTAGACGTATTGAAAGTGCAAATGAAGTGAGGATTTAAATATCCCACGCTTCATTTGCATAATGGCAGCCGCTGCTTTTTTTCAAAACTGGGCTTTTGGGAAAAAAAAATGGCAGTTTAGACAGGGCATTTCCAACAGAAAGGCTCCGTTTAGAAAGATCCTGTACTCCTGGATCAAAAATGTCCCGTCTTAACTGCTGTTTTTTTTAAAAGCCCCGTTTTGAAAAAAGCGGTGGCCACCATTATGCAAATGAAGCGTAGGATATTTAAATCCATGCTTCATTTGCACTTTTGATACATCTAATTTACATCCCACTGTCGACAGAGGGATGTAGTTTAGACACACCCGACGTGAGGCTCAAATAGAGTATATGGAAAGCAATTTCCAGATTTGATTATATAACAAAATAGTGGGTTAAAAAAAAAAGTCCTAGAAGATTTGAATGACTAACTGACCAAGAGGCACATTAAAGGACTGGACATAATATTCAGAGATTCAACCAGATGATGAAGTCAGGGACCATGATTTCCAGTTGGTCATCAATATTTTGTAGACATAGTTGGGTATTTCTTCCACTTCTTGGGTCCATTCCATGATTCCACAGATCAAAACACTATACATATATTTTCAAGGGTATTGCTCCTAACCGACTACAGCAATTTGAAGTTCTAGTATTGAGCAAACAGAAAAACATTGGTTAAGTAAGGCATTTGTGAAGGGATTTCCTTAAGTTGTTTTGTCTTCCTGGATGGTAAGCTATTGGGTCTGATTCCCATTTATGTTCACTTTTCACTGCTCTAGCAATGTAAATGGGCCTGGAAATGAGAGTTAATTAAACTGATTAGAAATGTAATTTACACCCACTTTATGGCTCCCTTATTCTGCCAGAGCAGTTTTTCTTTCAATTCATGCATCTAATGAAGTCAGTTGCAACACAGGAAAGCTTATGCCACAATAAAATTGTTGGTCTTTAAAGTGCCACCAGACTTCTCGTTTTTTTTTTTTTTTTTTTGTCACAGCAGTGTAACAGGTCTTCAGTGTAAGAATCCAGTATATTAAGTTCAATATTCAGTACTGGTTAATGAAATTGTGTCCTCGTTTCTCAGAAAAAAAAGAGGAACCGGAGCTATATTGGGCATTTGTCTTCAGAATTCAAACACCAGCTAACTTTTATTACGTCTGAATTTTGCTTTTGCATCACATTTTGCTGGGTTTCTCCATATTTTGTGGGTGTTTGTCATGCCCAGGATTGTTATCTTTCTTGATCTGAACTTTGGTACAAAGGAACAAAGTTACAAAATCAAATGTAACTTAATCTAAGAAAGATAATTAATGATTCATAAATCTTTAGAGCCTCAAATAAAATTGGTGCATACAGATACATAAGAACATAAGAACAGCCATACTGGGTCAGACTAAAGGTCCATCTAGCCCAGTATCCTGTCTGCTGACTGTGGCCAATACCAGATGCCCCAGAGGGAGGGATCACAACAGGTAATCCCTCATGTGATCTCTCCCCTGTCACCCACTTCCAGAGAAACAGAGGCTAGGGATACCATTCCAACCCATCCTGGCTAATAGCCAGATAGGCCTAACCTCCATGAATCTATCTCTCTCTTTTTTGAACCCTATTAAAGTTCTAGCCTTCACCGCATCCTCTGGCAAGGAGTTCCACAGGTTGACTGTGCGCTGAATGAAGAAAAACTTACTTTTGTTTGTTTTAAACCTGCTGCCTATTAATTTCATTTGGTGACCCCATAGTTCTTTTATTGTGGGAATAAGTAAGTAATTTTTCCCTATTCACTTTTTCCATACCAGTCATGATTTTATATATCACTATCTTATCCCTTCTTAGTCTCATGTTTTCTAAACTGAAAAGTCCAAGTCTTTTTAATCTTTCTTCATATGGGACCCATTCCAAATCACTAATCATTTTTGTTGCTTTTTTCTAAACCTTTTCCAATACCAATATTTCTTTTTTTGAGATGAGAGGACCATATCCGTATGTAGTATTCAAGATGTGGGTGTACCATGGTTTTAGATAGAGGCAGTAAGATATTTTCTTATTCTCTATCCCTTTTTTAATGACTCTTAACATTCTATTTGTTTTTTTGACTGCCGCTGCACACTGAGTGGATGTTTTCAGAGAACTATCCACAATGACTCCAAATCCTTTCTCTTGAATAGTTGTAGCCAAATTAGTCCCCATCATATTGTATATATAGTTGGAATTATATTTTCCAATTTGCATTACTTTACATTTATCAACATTAAATTTCATTTGCCATTTTGTTGCCCAATCACTTAGTTTTTAGATAATTAAAATTTATAGTTTATCATATTAGCTATTCCTCTTCAAGAATTATCATCATCATCGACTGGTACAATTTTCAAAATGTTTTCTTTTAAGACACAATATAAAATAGTTAAAACATTTTCACATTGAGTTTCAGTGGCACCCTCCTTAGAAATCTCCATTGTGTTATTTCAATCTTGTTGATTGTTTGCTATGTTATTAAATTATGATCTTGATTAAGTTGAATCTGAGGAACATTACTTATTGATTTGATATGCAGCCATTACATACTTTTATATATAGACTATTATGAGTACTATGAGATATGCTGCACATACCACAATGCCAAGTAGTAAAACAATATGCACTGAATTTATAAACTATTTTGTAGTGTTAACATTGTAAGTGAATGTAGTGATCAATAAAAAGGCACCGAACTGACAAAGCTAGAGATCAAAGTGTGCTATTTATCCACACAACAAGAACATAAAAAGCAGCAACATTGTAAACTTTCCTCACAGATTCAATAATATGCCTCAACCTGGTGCTAAAGGAATCACCTCTGGAAGTGAAAGGGGAATTTAGCTTCAATGCTCAGTCATTCAGCCTCTGCTTAGGCTGCCAACAAAAAAGCCAATTAGTGTCAATTCTACTGGTGGCAATTCTGTAATGTGGACATACGTCTATGCAGAACCAATGTAGTATCAACATCATGGGCAGTGTAACTTAATGGACACAGCACTGGTCCAGAGTCCTGCATTCTATTCCCTGCTCTGCCGGGTAATTGGGAGCAAATCATTTTACTTCTCAATGCTTCAGCTTTCCTCATGTTTGAAATGGGTATGACAAAGACCCCTACTATAATGAGAGCTAGTTATTCTTTTATTAGTATAAGTCATTTTACAGGATCTACGTAATACATATCAGATGGTAACTTTCAGGTTGAAATCCTTGTCACCTTCCCAAGTGAGTTGCCCAAGCAACTTCAAGCTTAGAATTTGCCCTTGGTCTATTCTAAGATGTTATTAATTTGAACCAATAACCTTAGAGAAAAGCTCTCATTTTCTATTACACGGTTTTGTAGTAAAATAAAGTATGTAGAAGGTTTCTGCATTGTATTTAATTATAATATGGATCAGTATTTCTTTTAACAATATTTTTCTTAAATAAGTACTATGTTTGAGATAAATTACCACAGTTTTCAACCAGTAAATGAACCAAATCTGAATTTTTGATCCTATACAAATTCATCTGTCATGAGCAGCTAAAAATTGGGAGAAGGGTATTGCAATGTTATACGGATTCTACACTACATATTCAGGAGACCTATGATGTTTCTCATAATTATGCATAACTGTCATTTTCTGAAAAAGCAATTTCATTCCAGAAAGGAAATTTTAGGACAACAGAAGCTATGCTGGCCTTAGGCAGCATAGAGTAAAAGACATTTTA